TGTGAGGGAGGGCAGAGGCAGCGCTGTGGATTGGAGCAGGAGAGCTCTCAGCCAAGCTGAGCGCTCAGGACACAGCTGGGTTGTTTCCCTGCAGCAGACAAGTCCTGCTCGTGTTTTTCTGTGTTTAAATTGAGTTTGGGAAGCTCTGCTGATGCAGCAGGGCAGGTAGGTGGGTGCTTGTCAGCAGGGAGGGGATGCTGTGGTGCCCATACTGTCCTTGCTCTGCTCAGGGTGGGCATCAAACCCAGATCTTAGTATAGGGGTAAATAGCTTTCCCACTCCCATCACTCTGCACTTTGCTGTGGATACTCAACCTGGGCTGTGTCTGTGTGACACAGCCCCTGTGTGTAAGCTAGTCCAAGTTCGATCTTCTGAAACAACCCATGAGCTCTCCAGGTTCTGCCTCTCCCTAGGGATAGGATGGGCTGTGAGGGGGAATGTCAGAGGGGACAAGCCAAGAGCTGCACTTCAGAACTTACCACCTGCTTTTCCCTCTAAAACTCATTTGGGAGCAAAGACTCCTTCACTGCTTCACCTAAAACTGTTTTCCTTCAAGGTTGTCCCGGAGGAGAAGTGGCATCAAGCCAGTGACTTCCAGACTCAGTTCCCAACATCTCCTGAGCCAAGGGCAGCCCCGGAGCCCTGGCTGTGGCAGGGAGGAGGTGCCTGTGCCAGGGTCTCAGCCTGGAGTCACATCTCAGCTCTCAGCACTGCCTGGGAAGTGTCCAGTGGATGCACACATAGTGAATCTGGATTGCCAGGACTGTGCCCAGGGTGCTGCTGGCAGTACTGCAGCCCCTCAGGCCGTTTTGGGGGAGCAGCTGCCTGAGGGGGTCACAGTGACTGAGCTGCAGGATGTCTCCAGTGTTGCTGGGGTCCAGCCAGGAAGGAACAGGGAGGAGAGCCCTGGAAGGACAGTGATCACTTCCACTCCTAAGGCTGCTCAGAATGCAGATCCAGCTGCACTCCAAGGAGATGGATCTCCTCAAGGCTCGAAGAAACTGCTCTTCCAGGGCTGTCACAGCAAAAGGATGTCAGAGAAACCAGGAACACGGCGCCGGAGCAGTGTGGGTGCTCCCCGCAGGAGCCGCAGGGCTTCCCTGGTGGAAAAGTACTCCCTGGCGAGCAGGAGGGAGAACATGATCCGCAAATCCATTGGCAGGGCCAAGGCCAGGAAGGCAGCGACCCGAGAGGAGTCCTCAGCCTCCAGCAGAGTGAGCTGTGAGTCCCTGCTTGGCTTCTGTGTGGGTATGGAGCAGTGTGGAGCAGCTCATCCCTGGAGTCTCCTTGTCCTGGGTCTTGTGGGATCCTGGGGTGCAGTTTCAGGCCAGCTGAAGGCTGGGGTGAGGGAACAGAGTTGGGGTACATAGGTCAGAGTGGCAGGAAAATGCAGTCAGGCTGGTTTCAACCACATGTGCCTTTGGATTGGGAGAGGCTGCTGTGTTCCCTGGAGAGAGGCTTTAATTTATGACTTCTGCCAGCTCTCTAAAAATCAATAGGGATGAAAGTCTCTAGCCTTGTAATTGGGATGAAATGGGCCGAGGAGCCTTTCAGGTGAGGATAGAAGAGACCCAAATTAGCAGCATCTCCAGAGAAACAGGGATCAGGAGCCCAGGCTGCATCTGGCAGCACTGAACCCCTCACATCCTCTGCTCCTACTGCTCCTGGCAGGCTTGGACTGTTTGGGCTTTCCAAAATCACTGCTGCTACCAGCCGATGGGTTGTGATGGAGCACGGAGGCCTCTGGAATTGAGCTTTGTCAGCCTTGAGTCACGCTGTATCCAGGCACTTGTTATAACACTTGGAGCGAAGGGGTGTGATGGGGGGGTGGAATCAGCCTGGAATCAGCCCCAACCCCCCTGGATCCCTGCATGGGGAGGCAGGAGCTGCAGCCAATGGCCTGGGAATGCTGGGTGTGACACAGGCAGCCAGAGCAGGCTGCAGGCAGCTAAGCTGCTGCCTTGGTGCTCTGCCTTCCCAGCCCTCTCCAGTTTGTCGGTGGCACTTGAGGGAGGTGTGGTGCTGGTGTGGAATGCTGAGCTGAGCAATCTCTGTTCCTGGGAGGAAGACTGTGCACCTCCACACACACTCTGGGTCCGTTGGGATCCTGGGAAAAAAATCCCCAACTTCACTTATGCATTTCTCCCCAGGTCAGAGCTCCTTGGAGGTTTATTTGGAAGAAGATGTGACCAGCAGTACAAGGTGAGGCTGCCATGGAAAGCAGATGGGAAGTGATCCCAGATGTCCCTGTGAGGACACTCCATGGGTGCATTTTATGTCACAGATTTTGTAAGGGAGTGCTCAGGTGTTGCTGTCATCTGGGGCTGGCTGATATTTCATGTTGTGCTGCTCAGACATGGTGAGGTTAAGCCCTGTGCTGGGGTGGGTGGTGCTGCCCAGCCTGGAGTTGGCTGGCACCATGTGTCCTGGGATTCCTGGATGCCACCAGCCCCTGAATGCCAGGGTGCTGGTGTTTGGTCACCCCTGGTTTGGTGGGAGAGGGGAGAGGTGAGGCTTATCCCAAGGCTGGCAGAGCTTCCTCTATGCTTGCTACATGGGGGCAAAGCTGGTCATGGTGTGTTCAGTGGTGCAGTGGGACAGTTCCTCAGAGGAATGTGTGCCTGGCTTGAACAACCTCTGGATGTGCTTAGGTTTACCTGTACTTCCTTAGCGTTCCATACTTCGGCTCCATCACCTGTAACTCACCTGCAGAGTTGCAATAATGAAAATAACTTTTCCTTTACAGGCCTGAGTTGGAACTGAACCCTCCAAGGGAGAAGGTAAGTTCTGAGGAACAACCTACAGGCTGGACATCTTGCTGCGTCAGCACCTTTGCTGAGGTGGTCACTGGAAGCAAGGATGTAGCCAGTATCCGTGAGCTGCCCCATACCCAAAACAAACCAGCACCCCTTGCTGGGAGGGACACAGACCCTTGCCAAGCAGTTGGCTTATAGTTGGCCTTTCCAGGGCAGCATGTCTGTGATAGCCTTGTTCTTTGGAGCAGCTGTGCTGAGGCAATGCTTGTCTCCTTAACCTGCAGGCTCCTGAAGAGCTCCTTATGGCAAGCAAAAGTCCCCAGACTGCCAGCCCTCTTGCACAGCAGCTGTCCCCTCTGGAGCAGCAGGCAGGGAACACTCCAGGTAACCTCCAGGTGGTCTTGCTTTAATGCCCCAAAGGCACATAGACCCAGGGGTCAGTACAACGATTTGTGGGAGATCTGGGACATGTCAGAACAAAACCATCCTTGACCAGTCAAGGAAGCTTCTGGGCAGAAGGGGCTGTGCAGGTGTGTCCCACATGATGTTCCAGGTGGCCATCCAGGCTTCTCTGGTTATGTGCCACAGGGGTCTGAGCATGGAGAGTTGGAGATGAGAACCAGATGCCTTGCACGTGGCACTGACTGCAGGTTTCTCCACAGGAAACCATGTAAATCCCAACAGTGAATCCCAGAAGAAGAACCAGGAGCAACCCCACTGTGCCAAGTCTCGGGAGAATCCCTCTTGTGTCTGGTAGGAGACACTGCAAGGAGCAGGGATGAGCCTGGAAGGACTCAGGCTTGGCCTTTTAAGTCATTAGTGTTAAAAAGCTTTGGGGGTTTGTTTCTCTGCCTTCCCCAGCTGCTTCTAGTGTAGCTTTGAAAACTCCTTTGGTCAGATCCTGTCTCCTGGAAGTTTCTTGTGACTTCCTGAGCCTTGTTTGGCTCTGGGACCAGGTGTGGTGTGGGAAGCAGTACCTGAGGTCCCACACGAACCAGTGGAGGTGACTTCAAGGGCTCCTGAAGGGGTGGTCTGGGAGCAGATGACAGACCTGGTTATTCTTGTCTGTGTGAGTGTCTGGAATACCTGGCCTGTCTCCTCACTGTGTGTTACTAGGGTCTCACATGGGGTTCTGGGGCAGTGTGTAACAGCCAGTAAATGCCTCTAGGGAGTGTGACAGTTGCCTAATGTCTCTCTTGCTAATGCCACCAGGACAAGAGGCTACAGACAAGCCCTGGGTGTACTGTGGCATGGGCAGCAGCCAGGGAGACAAGCCCTTTCTCCTTTGGAGGACAAGCACAAGACATCAGCAAACCAGGCTCCACTAGCATCCTCTCCAGCCAGCAAGGTGGGTGGTGCCACAGCCCTGTGCCCTGTGTCCTGGGCAGGTGCTGAGCTCCCTCCCTCTCTCCTCTCAGGTGGTCAGGCCACTGAAGAACTTCCTGCAGGCTGTGCAGAGGAATCAACTGCTGCCAAGCCCAGGAGCCACGGCACAAGGGGGCATCAAGGACTTCATCAAGCGCAGCACTCCCACCCGGCCAAACCCTAAGGTATGTTTTGTCCCACTCTCCCTCCTCAAGGGAAAAGTGGGGGACAGGTGTGGGGGAGTGGCAAGAGAGGGACTGTTTGCTTAGAGACCCATAAACCTGGCTCAGGAAAAGTGCAGGTCCTGGGAGCAACCTGGCCTCAGGATTCTCTATCAGCCACTCCAGGAAAAGAGGGAGTCTTTAGCCCAAACCTTCCTTGATGCAGAGGAATCCCAACTGCTCTGCCTGTGGCCATCTGTGTCTGAAGACACTTTTAGATGGAGATGGTCCACAGCAGGCTGTGTCAAACTGAGTATAAAAGTAAGCAGTTGCAGCTCTCCTGTGGGAATGGAGTGAGAAGGGAGTAAGCAGGTGCAGCTGGCCTGTGTGACTGGAGTGAAGGAGTAAGCAGTGATAAGAAAACTTCAGCTAAGGAAAACAAAAGGATAATGAGCCTTGACTGACTGCCAGGCAGCCCACCAAGGACACTTAGAGGTGATGATGAGGAAGGGCAAGGAAGTAATGACCCCCAGAGGAGACTGACGACCACCCTTAGGCTCCGCACACATGCATGGAGCCACCAAATATATGTGATCAAATTTGGACCCACCTCATCCTGTTGTGTACTGGTCACATCAGGATGGCATGGCAAAAGTATGATAGATAAGGCCATGCACACTTTCTGGGGGGAGCTGTCCAGAACTTGAGGACCATGTTGAGTCTGTGGGGATACCCACTGAGCTTCTGTGTCTGCCCCCCACTCCTCCTGCCAAAATGGGACTCTGCACTGGACCACTCATCTCATCACTCTTGGGGTCAGTAATGTACTTGTAATTGTTAGGGACATTTATGTATGTATGTTAGGGACATACTTTTTCCCTTAGTACTGAAGTAGACTTTATATCCCTTTTGTAAGGACACACATATAGGTAGGTGGAATAAATCACTTTGAATTTACTACCTGAGTGTGTGTGTGTCTGTCCCGTTATCTCAGAATCCTTGCTCCCTCGAGCACCATCACATATTTGGGACTGCTGATCCATAGGGAAGTGGGAAGTGTTTCTTTGCAGTGGGAATTGTCTGGGATTTTTGGCCACTGCAGGGCTGACAGGCAGCGTGGGGTCAGGCCGCGGGTCCTCTACCATGTACTTGCAGAAACTGCAGCTGAAACTGTGGTGCATGGGCTGTGAAGAGGGTTCTAGTGTTATTTCCAAAGTTTTAACGATGTTTTTTATGCCCCTTCTCTACAGGGAGACTTTGTTGTAAGTAATGACACCTTATCCGTGAAGCTGGACAGTCCTACTGTTACTGACTACACTCTCCTTTCACACTGGTGTCCATCTGGCCACACCTGTGGTGAGGTGACAGGATCCCTGTGCAGGTGTGTTGTGCTGGGGTTGGACACTGCTGGGAGCTTTGGGCCTCTAGGCAAGGCTGCACTGTGCTCCCTCTCCTGTTTTCCCAGCTTCTAGGGCAGGTAGGGGATGTTTGCTGCAGGTGGTCACCTCCAGCCAGAGTGTGCTGATCCTTGCCTAAACACAGTCTGCAGCCTGAAGGACTGAGGTTCTTCCTCCTGTACCTGTAACCCCTCTACTCTCCTGGGTTAATGCCTGTTGACAAACCTGTTTTCTCCCCTGTGGCTCACTCACCATCTTGGTGAATGTGACTCTGAAAGATCTTGTACCTGAGGGGACAAACAGTCCCTGGCAACTGGCACAGTCTGAACTCCTTTCCCTCCAGGAGAAGGAGAGGCAGAGACTGGAGAATCTCCGGAAGAAGCAGGAGGCTGAGGAACAGAGGAGAAAGAAAGTGGAGGAGGAGAAGAAGCGGCGGCAGGCAGAAATGAAGCAGTGAGTTGGGTCCCTTTCCCCCTGCTCCTCTCCTGGTCAGCACAAATTTGCCTTGGAGGTTGTTCCGGCTGGGTGGATGGGATGGCTCTGCCATGCTTTGTGCCTCCCACTTGGAATGAGCATTTTGGGAGCAGTGACGCCTGGGCACCCTGAGCCCTGCTGTTCCTGCTCATGTCCCAACTCCACCTGGAAAGATACTGGGGCCAAGCTCAGCCAAAGCCAGTCCAGCAGAGCAGCTGTTCCCCAAGTTACCCAGTCCCTGTCACCCCTCACCCCTATGCTGGAGCAGACAGGGTTAATGAGCTCCACCTGTCCACACACTGCCCAGGAAGCGGGAAGATCGTCTAAAAAAGGCCCTGCAGGCTCGGGAGCGTGTGGAGCAGATGGAAGAGGAGAAGAAAAAACGGATGGAGCAGAAGATCCTGCAGAATGATGAGAAGGTGAGAAGACAGGGTGAGCTTTGGTCCTCTCTGTGAGCTGTGACACCAGGAGGTGTGAGCAGGGCACAGGCATGGCCCAGGCAGGCTGCTGGGGGTGACTAACCAGATGGGTAAGTGCATCAGAGACACCAAAATTCTGCCTGACAAGGGAAGGCTTTTCTTCTCCGTCCCTCTGCACATTCCTGTTGTGACAGACCATGTTCATGGCTCTCTGCACTCAGGGAATGTGGCAGCACCCTGCATGCTCTAGGCACAGGCTCTGCAGGTGACAGCCTCACCTGGCTCGCAGCACTTGGAGCGTGATGAACAGTGAGGCCACGGGGTCCACGGGGTGCAGAGGGAGGAAAACAACAGCTACCAGGTGTGCAGGGGATGCCTGTGACTCAGCTCAGTGTGTGTTTGGGTTTCAGAGCCTGGCTGGCCCTTTTTGGGGTATAAGGCAGGTGAGGAGTGTGCTGGGCTGGGCTGGTGGCTATATGCACTGTGCTGCTGGTGTGGTATGACTGTGTGGGGCTGAGGGAGATGTGCCTGATGGCCTGGAGCCCAAGCAGCCTCTGGGAGAGGCCTGGCTGCTTATTTTGGAGTGGACCCTTGGAAAGGGTCCTTGGAAAACAAGAAATCATGTTGCTTTCAGCCTTTCCCAAACCCTGAGCGATCAAAAGCACCCCCAGCCCTGGCTAGCCTGCTTCTGGGTCCTCAGTGTCCTTAGGGCCTGGGACATTCCAGGCTCCAGACCTCCCTGCAAGGCTATGAGGTGTGTCCTCAGGGTGGTGGAGCTGACAGGTATGGTTTTCCCAGGGCTGGGAAGAGAAGGTGGCAGAAGAGCGGAGCAAGAAGAAAGTGTCCAGGAAGCATGGGGAAGTGGATGCACGGAAGCAGAAAGCACTGAGGGGGGTAAGAGCAGCCCAGGTGCCTCCTACATGTGGGAAGGGACAGGGATAGCAGGGACACCCTGTGTAGTTGTGGCTGGTAGGACAGGGACAAGTCCGGTCTCTCCTGCTGCAGGATTTTTGGGATCTGAGCTGCCGTATTTCTGTCCACGCAGTTGAGATGGGGTTGGGACACAAGGGAGAGACATCCTGGCTGGTGCACAGACATGGGAGGGAAGGGTGAGCTCTGGCCTGCACAGGTTGTCTCAGAGCATTCACTTCACATCCTCTCACCTGAGCTAGAGGCATACAGGGGTTTTCCTCTTTCTTCTTCAGGAGGAAAATGAATTTGAGCAGCAAGAACCCCTGCAGAAAAGGAGAGAGGATGAAGCGAAGGAAAAGGGGAAGAAAGTCTTGGACCTGAAGAACCTTGTAGAGCAGCGACAGGCAGCACAAGCAAAGGAGAGGTATGATCTTGTGTCTATCCTGGATCAGGGAATTAGCCATTGGCATTGGGGAAGCAGTGAATATAACTGTGGTGTTGGAACTGGGCTATGGGGCTGCCTGGAGGTTGGGGTGCTGGAGCAGGGAGCTGTGAGGATGTGGGGGCAGGTGGACATGCTTCCCGCTCTAAATGGTGTCTTTTTTCCCCCAGGGATGCCAAGCAGCGAGGG